CTGCCCAGGAACCAGGGATGCAGCCCTGCTCCCTGCCCAGGAGCCAGGGGTGCAGCCCCGCAGCTCTGCTGCACTCATGTGACACAGATCTGGAGCCCTTTGCCAGCCCGGTGCACTCCATGGGCGCTGAGAGCGTGTTCGGTGCTTGCAGTCACAGCTCTGTGCTTTTGCAAAAGCCGTAGAAGTGGCAGACAGAAAACACCTTTTCTTTTTCAGGTGACGGTAGGCCCAAGGCTTTGGAAGGTTTAGTTTTTCCACCACCTTATTCTGTTAATCACATGGATTAGTTGAGCTAAAATTGAGGTCCGAGCTTGTTGCCTCAGGGACAGGGTCCTGAGTAGTTTTCCCTAGAGCTGGTGCACGCAGGGGATGACGCAGGGGATTTGATTACGCAGGGAATCTTCCCTGACCATTACAGGGAAGATGCTTTAGTCTCCTTTGGAAAGGAGAAGAGACAAACATTAAAACTCTGCAATGAATTTAATTTCCTTAGCCTTAACCATCTGTATCACTTTGAGCTGGTGCCCTAAACATGCACAAGCATTCCATAAATAAGCAAAAATATTTATATATATTTATATATACAGAATACCTGAAGGCTTTTGAAGCTAACAAACAAAAGCCACCAAAGCATAGTCTATATCCATAGATGGCTGTTCCACCTTAGCTTCTCCATTTACTGATCGGGAGGAGAAAAGAGTGGGAAAAGTTAGGGTTTCTCCATGTTGAAAAAGCATCTTGCACTTTCTCTAAGTTACTGCAAACTAGGCAAAGTAATAAAGGAAGAAATTCACTCTTTTTAGAAAAAGCAGATTTTGTTAACCACAACTCCGATTCTGCAGCATTGCTTTTACTGCAAACTAGCTTTAAAAGATTTGGTTCCCTGCCTAGGGCTTTCCTCTGGTTAAAGAGAAAAAAAAAAGGGAAAAAAAAAAGGGAAGAAAAATAGGAAGGGGGGATTAGTCCCAAAGTAGTGCAAGAAGGTTTAGCTGTAGCGTGCGCGCGCGTGTGTGTGTGTTAGCTGTGTAATGGCTTGTGAAATGATAGCGAGGTGGCGAGTAATTTCTTTTGTATCCTTAGGACAGTCCGGATAAGAGACCTCAGACCTCAGCAGCAGTTAATTCACTAGAAACACCAGCCGAGGCAGGGGAGCTTTCCTGATTTTTCTTCTGTAAAGAAAGAAGTGTGAAGCTGGGATAGACCCGGGATCAGGAAGTTTTATTTCTCTCCTGAGGAACTGGGTTTTCATTCAATATGACCTTCTGCTTGTCCATCATATGCAAACGTTTTTTCAAGAAACTGAGAACACAGTGAGACTGACCTCCTCAAAGGCACTGTATTTGAGGAACTTGCGCCCTGCCGTGATCCATTCCTGGAAAATGTTTCTTTTCCCAGTGTAATATAACACTTACTAGCACTCACAAGTCACTGCGAAATGGTTTCCACTGTTGTCTTTGTCAGAGTTGGAAAATACTTCAAGGGCTTGCACAGACTGAGCCACCTTTTACTAGACATGAAGGCACATTTTAATGGAATCGCTTCTCTGATTTCCTTCCCTGTTCTCTGACCCCAGCTCCTTTCCTTTTGAAAAGTAGTCCTAGCCCCCGAGTTTATGGAAGTCTCAGTGGCACAGGTAAAACATGGCTTTTCTAAGCCACTTACTGTAGAAAAACTGTTTTTAGTTGTTTCCAGGTTGACATTAAGACAGCTCAAAACACCACTCTCATTCTTCACCTTCAGCTGCTTTCACGTAGCTTCTTTTTTTTTCTCTCCCTGAAGAGTTCAGTTTTCTTTCTAACGTGTATTCAGTAGATTATCTTGAGCTGAGGGGTAGTGAACGAAGCCTCCCTTAGCTCCATCTTACATGTCTTAAGGAGCTTATGCTGCACTGGTGYGGCTGCATCTCTGTGCTACTCTGCTTGCAAGACGGGAAAGTGCTTTAACAATCTGCAGACTCGAGAGAGGTCTTGACACCCTTATAATGCACCTCAGATAGATAGGAGCTTCCACTCTGGGAAGTGGCCTCTGCGGCACAACACACACAAACGTGCTGTGGAATTCACCCTTCCTGCTGACTTAGCCCATGCTCTTGAATTGTCAGTGACTTGCTTGGGGTTCGGATGCASTTTTTCAAATCAGACCTGAAATCAGGCCACGCATCACCCACTTYTGGAGTAAGGGCTGTGGGAATTCAGCAGCACATGTTCTTTCTGCCTTATAGGTCAGTGAGTCAAAACCAAGTTGCACTGAGCCTAAGAAAGAAGACTCTGGATAGAGTGCAGCAGCCTAGTCTACCCAGAGAAGCTTGGAGGGGGCATGGAGAGGCTGAAACTCCTTTATAATTCCATAAGCAGTGCAAGATTCAGGCAGGAAAAGTTACTAAGACCATCTTGAGAAGAAAAGTCATCCAGGTTTAGTCTAAATACAAGTCTTCCATCTGTCTGTTACAGAGTTTGCCATGGCACCTCCCTGCTGCTAGGACTGATGTGAGATGAGCTCTCAGTACAACAGGAGCTCGTCTTGATCTGGTTGGGAAATGCACATTCCAGTGTGGAGGGACCATCAGAGCCT